CTGTTCCAGTCGTTTTTGGATAATCTTCACTAGAATCTTGCTTGCATGTGAAATCAATGCTATTGTTCTGTAGTTTCCACACTCAGTTGGGTCACCCTTCTTTGGAATGGGAACAAATATAGATCTCTTCCAGTCCATTGGCCAAGTAGTTGTTCTCCAGACTTCTTTATAATTATTAGTGAACTAAAATTCACAAATGAACAGCTTCTTCTTCCCACCCTACAATACCAGAAAGAAAACCAGTGGACTACAGAGATTTAGTTCAAAATATTGCTTCAGTCACAGAAGACTATTCTCAACATTTCCTTCTTCAGTCTCAGCATTACTGGCATTTGGAGCCAGAAAACGGTTTGTTGAGGGGGCTGTCAAGTGTACTGTAATGTTTAGCAGTGTCCTTGGCCTACCCTTCCCCACTAACACTAAAAATGTCTCCAATGTCAAATGTCTCCTGAAAGGAGGGGGAAAAAAATAATAATCCAATCTAGTAGAAGGTTATTATGAGTTGGAACTGACTCAATGGCAGTGTGTATGGATTTGGTTTTTGGTTGGGAATCATCGCCCCAAACAAAGCAGAGCTTTCCTGTCCCAAACACAGGATGCATTACCTTTCCACATGTATCAATGTCTGTTACCCATTTGAAAACCTGTGGAGCTTCTGTGTCCAGAGCCTTTACTGGGACTTCATTATGTAGTCATGATCAACTAGGTCAGCTCATCTCCCTTGAAGTCAGCTGATATGAAAAGGCTGTCTTTCTGCCCTGGCTATCTCTACACCTTTTCAATCTACATGTGGAAAAGATTATCTGGGATGCTGGGCTCTATAAGGAGAAATGTGGCATCAGTAATGGAGGAAGACTCATCAACAATCTGAATTATGCCGATGACACAACCCTGCTTGCTAAAACTGAGGAGGACCTGAAGCATTTACTGCAGTAGGTCAAGGACTGCAGCCTTCAATATGGACTGAAGTTCAACATCAAGAAAACAAAGATTCTCACCAATGGGCTGATTGGCAGCATCATGATAGATGGTGAAGAGATTGAGATTATTAACAGCTTTAGTTTGCTTGGCTCCACAATCAACACTTTTGGTACCAGCAGTCAGGAAATTAAAAGACAAATTGCATTGGGAAAGTCTGCTGTCAGAGATCTCTCCAAAGTACTGAAGAGCAATGATGTCAGTCTGGAGACTAAGGTACACCTGATCAGGCATGGTCTTTGCAATTGCTTGTAAGTGCGTCCTGAAAAGCTGGACATGACTGGAGACAATAGAAGGAGAATTGATGCCTTTGAGCTCTGGTGCTGGAGAAGAGTGTTGAATATA